TCTGCGTTCATGGGCCCCACGGGTCCGGAACTATGGCTCTGACACAGATTAGGCATTCCAGTGTCAACTCGGATGCAGTGGGAGCACCACACTTGAGCTGAGAGAGGCAAGGGCCAAATCACCAGTGAGAAGTGCGCCAGCAGCWGCAGCAACTCCCAGGTGCTTCATGAGCAAGGAATGCTTTGGGTCCCCGAGGGCTCAGGGACACAGCATAAAAGCGTGTGCTGCACCAGGCTCGGCCATCCTCCTCTCTCTGCCTCACTTTCCTCGGCCATCTCGGTAAGCCTGCGTCTGCTCCCTCTCTTCCTACGGGCTGAATTGCTGTCGTGCTGGCCGCTCCACTTTCAGAGGTGGCTGATAAGTTTAGCCCTTGAAATCTTGTAGGTCCCTTCCGTATTTGTGTTTTCAAGGGTGGGTGGTGGTGGTAATGTGGAGCGAGGAAACAGAGGGTCCTTTTGGTGGGAAGAGGAGGGCTGCTTCAAGTCAAAGAGGCATCTCTGGCTTCAGCTGGCCTGTGTGACATGGAAGGAGCAAGGGGGATGCAAAAAGTCTTGCAGGCTTCTCCAGATCATTTGTTCTCTTCCATGTGGCTTCTCAAATTGTGGCACGGTGTTGCCCTTTCTGAGTTGCTCCTGCTCCTCTCACAATTTAGTGTGGGTCACATCCCACACTCTCTGAATTCCCCGTGGTCCTCCAACTTGGAACCTCTTTTCCCTCCCCTGCTCTGTGTTTCAGCGCTGCCTCCCGCCCAGAGAGATGTCCTGCTTCAGACCCTGCCCGCCCCGGCCCTGCGGCACCTCTGGCCCTACCCCTCTTGCCAGCAGCTGCAGTGAGCCCTGCKTCGCCCGCTGCGCTGACTCCGTGGTTGCCATCGAGGCCTCSCCGGTCGTGGTGACTCTGCCCGGGCCCATCCTCACCTCCTTCCCTCAGAGCACAGCCGTGGGATCCTCTCTGTCAGCTGCTGTTGGCAGCTCCCTGAGCGCTGGCGGGGTGCCCATCACATCTGGGGGCTCCCTTGGTCTGGGTGCAGCCGGACTCTGCCTGCCTGTCCCCCGCTGCGTCTAAGCTGCTGAAGCCAGATGATCACCGCCTTCCAAGTCASCCCCCAGAAGCCTGGAAACTTTCATCTTGCTCTCAGTGCTTTTCTCCTTCCTGCTCATTAAAGACATTGCATCGCATAGCTGGAGTCTTATTGTGGTGTTACTTTTCACAGAATCACAGAGTAACGGAATGTTTAAGGTTGGAAGAGACCTCTTGAGTTCACTTAGCCCACCCTGTCCTGCTGAAGCAGAGACACCAGAGCATGTGGCACAGGGTGGCATCCAGGCAGGTTTTGAAGTGCTCCAGAGAAGGAGACTCCACAGTCTCCCTGGGCAGCCTGTTCTAGGACTCTTTCACCCTCACTGTAAAGAAATTCTTCCTCCTACAGAGATGGAACTGCCTGTGTGTTGACTTGTACCCGTTGCCCCTTGTCCTATCACTGGCTACCTCTGAAATGTGTTTGGCCCCTTCCTTGCTACGTTCTCTCCTCAGGTATTTGTATATGTTGATAAGATTCCCCCTCAACCGTCTCTTCTCCAGGCTAAACAGGCCCAGCTCACTTAATCTTTCCTCATACAAGAGATGCTCCTGTCCCTTAATCATCTTGGTTGCCATTCGCTGTACCCTCTCTAGAAGCTCCACATCCCCACTTACTGGGGAGCCCAGAACTGCACACAGTACTTGAGATGCGGCCACATTTCCCACATTTTCCTCTATTTTCTTAGCATCCAGACCTACCAAAGTGTATATGAGAAGCAGAGAGGATGATGCATCATCAGGCAGTAGACTGAGGTCCCCCCACAGGAGTATGGGTTTCCAGAGGAAAAAGGTGTTTCTTCCCCCACATTAGGGAGCTAAATCCTAGGCTTCCTGGTGGCAAGCCGGGAACTTCATCACTCTGCAGCAGGGGAGGAGAACACGTGTTCAGTTAAGACAAATCCAGTGGCCTGGAAGAACAGGAGGATTTGTCTTTTCCAGTCTCATCTGCCACTCCTGTTTGTAGGCCCAGCCAGAGGCAAGGCTGGGAAAAATTTCACAATGAGCACACATACCAGCACACACACACAGACTCTAGAGCCATAACCTGGCCACATGCGTCAATGCAGACAAAGAGCAGAGCGTTGATGGGCTGCCTTAGAAACACCAACTCACACCTGCATCACCACCATGCAAAGTCCAATCCTTTTTTTTTTTGCTTGTGGGTTGATCAGGACTAGAGTTCCACAGTGGACAGCTCCCCTTCTCTTGATTCACATGTACATGTACACCTGCAAGTCACTGCTCCACACCATAGGTCTGTCCAGAGTACCTGCATGGTCCAAGGACCCCTTTTATCCAATTCCTGCTCCAATCAACCAAATGAACCAAGGAGAACTTACCACATTGGAGGATATTAAGGAGATGAAGGTATAGGAGAAAAAGTAGTAATCTAACAGAAGATTGAAGAGAAAGAAAACAAAACAAACAAAAAAGGGTAAACTAAAATTAAAAGCTTTCTTTGGAAAGTAAATCAGTGAAAGTCTAAAGGAGACAGCAGAAACTCCACAAACTCCACCTCAAGTCTATGAGATAAGAGGAACGAAAGAGTCAATGCAACAGATATGACAAATGTTTTTAGTGAGGAGAAGTACAAGAGGCAAGCAAACATACATTACACTGGACTGTCTCAGTTCATAGCCATTCGCGGTGCTGAATACAAGTAGAAAAACTCTTTCAAAACAACGGTATGTCAGGGATTACAGCAGGTCTGTGAGATCCCTGGCTCCCTTAGCGGAGAGGGTTAGCCTTGAAGACTTCAGAGTGTACCCATGAGAAAGAGAAGTTACTTAGATAGCAGAAAACTGTAAACAAGTCTAAGGAAGTTTCACCTACAGAGCAGGGTGAGAAAACTTGCAAAACTGACCAAGCTGAAGTTTGTCCAATCACAATCTTGTTACTGTATTTTGCTGACTGTTGCAGCCAATAAGCCAAGGACATGATTTTACATAAAATATATAAAAGAACATTTATGGCTTAATAAAGCTCTCTCTCTCTATTCTCTCTGTAATTATTTCAACCAAGTGTCATTATTAGTCCGCCATGGCAGTGACAGCGGAACTTGTAGCTTCACAAGAAAAGAGGGGAAAAAAAATGAAATACTGCTGATGACAGACCTGACTGTGTGCTGCAGCCCTAAAAAATAAGTCAAATAAAACAGTAGGGCACGTTGGGAAGGGGCTTTCCTGGAGAGACGGCCAAGAATTAAGATCTATAGTCAAAGATGTTAGGGAATCTACACCTCCAGTGTGTTCTAGGCTTCTATTTCAAAGAGAGTTTGGATTAACAGGGGAGAGGGGAGCAAAGAAACTCTCCGCTCATGTTAAGGATTATGAAGTTCACTCAGTGTGATAGAAGAAACTGAGCTGGAGTTTATTGTCATGTAACTGGATACTAGGAAACTTCTTATTTAAAACTTCAATGTTGTTTTAGAGAGAAATGCTGTCTTTGTCATCTTTAAGCCTCCCTAACATATTGCCTCCAAAGCAGGGAGGAATGAAAGGCTGGCTTGGCTTAAGGAGAGTTTCTAGCATGTCCTTGAAAGGTCTTAATGTAGGCACAGAAGTCTGGGATGTGGACCTGTGAGTCTCTGCTGGGCTGGTATGAACATCTTGCTCAGTCTCACAGCGGAGAGAGGAGAGGAAATTATGTGAAATTTCCTCTTCCATTTGTGCTGTTTCCTCTGAATAAATGGCCATTCCAGAGTGATTGATAGGATGAAAGCTTGTGCTTGGATGCATCTCCTTCAATTTTCTGGCAGGCATTTTCATTTTTTCTGGCCTCAGAGTGTCCTGCTTGAGAAAGCTCTCATTTCTATGCATCAGCCCAAGCTCTTCTGCTAAAGAGCTTCCAGAGTTCAGATCTGGACTGAGTTCATTCAGAGACTGATAGCACTGATTTAAGATGGAATCCACCATTCCACTCACCACTCTGTCTTCCTCTTCTGAACTCTCCTCTGAAAGCACTGCCTTTTGACTCTTTTTTTTTCCAGTCCTTTTTTTAAAGAGGGAGTCCGACAGCTGATGTATGTCAGAAGCGTTTTCAACAGGAAGCTTTCCCATTTTGTCTTTGGTAATTTTGTCATTAGAAGCTGGGCAAAATGTTCTCTCATAAATAGGTATTTCAGCTTGCCTAAAACTGTTTTCTCCTGATTTGGCAGCTTGCCTTGCTGCTCTGGCAATGAGCTCCTGGTTCATGGATGAAGGTCTTGGCTCTGATTCATTTGACCTGCCGGATACCAAACACTTGCTGAAGTTATCAAAAACAATTGCTGCAATCTCTCTAGCAACCAGTCGAATTTCTTCCTGAGGGTCTAGATGCAGAGCTGCAGATGATGTTGTCCTCTTAGTGCTGCCAAACAGTCTTCCTCTAAACTCAAGGGGAGCCTCCCTTAAAACACAGACAGCTGGATGCAGCTCTTTCACTCTCTCATACACCTCCCAGACTGCTCTCTCAGCCACCTTAACAATGCCCAGTGCTTCTAGATTTTTAAAAACACTGTCGCTAGAATAGTCTTGCTCTCCATCCAAGTCCACAGCACTGTTATTCCACCTGGGAAGCTTGCGATCTTTTCTTGCTAATGGGGATTCGGAGTAAGTTTGGCTCAAAAGCAACTTCTTTGGCAACACTGTACTAGATCCCGTGCTTGTAATGTCTCTCTGAAAGCTACAGAGGTCCTGAGGAACTCTTCTTCTCCATACCTCCAGTGGCATCTGGGTCCTTCTAGACACTAATGGAAAAGATGTTTTTTGAGGTTGAAGAGTTGTCTTCCCTCTTGCTATGAAGTTGAAACCACTTGGTGATCTCTTGGGCTTTATGCTTGTTTCTGGGGCAACCTTTCTTGTGCTGTTGGCAGGCAAACTTTCCCACAAACCATGTAGCTCCTCACTGTATGGACTAGAGCTACCAGAGCTGCCTGAAGAGAAATGGAGATCATTCAAAAGAGAATCACATTGCTCTTTAGTTCTGGCTTCCCTATTCGTCACAGCTGTGTATAAGTTGTCAGACACTTCTTCTATAGCTTTTGTCAGTATAGCCTTAATATTCAGCACTTCTTCTACAGCCTTCTGTAACAGAAACAATTATTAACTGATGAGTGAAAGTTAGATTTGTTTTCCGTTTCCCCATATAAACTAGTCACTAGATTTCTTTCAATCAGGCAAGTTTGAAAATAATGTGGTTTCAACATAGGAAATGGATGATTCCAAACAGGAACTGGCTATTTCTTAGAGATTTGTCTGCATTTCGCAGGCACAAAAAAAAATAATATATTGCTAAGGAGACATCATTTAGGCTGCATTTTCTTACTGAAAATCAGTTGTATGAGTTTTTCTAAATCTAAAGGAACTGCACAACCTGAGCTCATGCTTTTGGATCTCAGTGTGGTAGACAATGGTTCAGGTCTCCATTCCCACTCTCTGCTGCAAAGGCAGAGGAGAACAGCCTGGACTGCTCAATGTGGGGATGGGCATGGTAAACCCCACTCCTAGTAATGCAGAGCCCTGGAGAGGATGATAAGCTGTGCACTATCAGAGCAGATAAACTCTTTCCTGCACACCAGTCTTATTGGGAGGCAGAAAGTGTGTGCCATGTGAGTTAAGACGGCCAGAGGACTCCAGAGCTGAGAAATACTTTGGGGAATTTCCACCAAGGGCATAGACTTCTTGGGCCTGCAGAGAAGGAAATTTTCACCAAGAATCCAGGGGGAGCCTTTTCCACGGCTCCCCGGAAGCCAAGGGTTATCCCTTATCTTTGTAAAGAGAAGCCTGCATGAGAGCAATTCTAAGTTCTGAAAAGAGAGTCTTCTCTTCTCCTGTAGATTTCCCTGGTGGTGGAATTACATTGGCTGCCACTTCACAGCAGATTTTGTCCAGGAATCATGCCACAGATCCCATCAGCACAGCTGCCCCAGGGCTTGCAAGTACCCCGATATGATAGAGGGACAAGCAGGCATTGTGCAGAATGTGAGGGAGGACAATAGTAAAAAAAAAAAAAAAAAAAAAAAAAAAAAAAAAAAAAAAACAACAAAACACCCTTTAATTATTCCCATGATGCAGTTTTGGTTAGCTGGAAAATAAGAAAGATACCTGGGAAAATGGCTTTTCTTCAACTTTTCCTGGCTCCTTGCCTTTTGTTTTAAGCTTATGCCATGCAGACGGCTCACATTTTGGTCTGGATGGTAGTTTATCCAGTGGTGGTCTAGGCTTGATTTTTAGCAGTGGAACTGGCACGGATATAGACCTGGTCACATTTTGCACCCCAGGTGACTTTGATTCAGCCTCTCTATGTCTCAGGGGTTTGTCAAGGCAATGACATCCATCTTCCAGTGCTTCATCCAGTATTTTGACAAAAACTTGATTGACCAATTGTTGGGAATATTGGGCTGAGAATAGTGTCTCTTCTTCGAGGTGATCAGGAGTCACAGTGTGGGAGAAGTCAGGACAGTGGCAAGGAACACTAGGCAGAGTTGCTTTTTTATGGAGCCCTGTGATTCTTTTCTCAAGCTCTTTGTTAGTGCCTGGTGGAGATGTCAGCATTGTCTTGAGAGGTGAAAAATCAGCTGGCTTTTCAGAAACACTCTGCAAGATAAACAAAACGGGTGGAGGACTTACCCGAGTAAACAACAGCATGCATCAAAAGAAAAAGACATTTTTAACCTTTTAAGCCTATAAACCACGGAGATGAAAGGATGGAAATCCCCATCTGAAATCCAAGCCTTGGTGAGCATTTAATGAGAGCTCAGTTGGCATCTGTGTATTTAAATTAGGCACATTCAAATACTGACCCCAAGGTGGATCAAAAGTCAGACAGCCTTCTGTTGTGGTCACCATAAAATACTGCTCAGAACGTGTACTCCAAACAGTCACAGAAAGCAGGGCAGTTTGAGAACACAACAGAGCTCATGGCATAGATTAAATATTCCTCTTCTGCAGCAAGGGAAGGACCACAAGTACCAGACCAAGACCGCAACTTTTGTTCATCTGCACATGGGGAGTTGTTAAATCTTGCAATTCTTTCTTTCTTTTTTTTTTTTTTTTCTCCTAGGGAGATTTGCTTAAAGTCCCACCCTCTGGAAATGAGCTGTTAAGGATTATAGAATCAGAGAATGGCTGATAAAGATTATTGTAAGAGACTGTTTTGGATTTTGCTTGTCTTCATATTGTTGCCACACAGTTTCTGACTTCTTGGCCTCGGCATCCTGTCTCTGGGAAGACTGGGATATCAGTTTGAGTTGTATTACCTGTGCACACTTTACAACTTCTTTGGAAGATCAGCTTGAGACCCTGGCAGTGCTCAGCAGTGGTGCCAAGCAGCGCTGGCAGTCGAGTGCGGGGGGAAGCAGAGCGTCAAAGAACAAACTTCAAGAAGAGGGGCAGACTCTTCAAAAACTGGGGCAGTGAAAGGACTGTGTATTCTTCCCTTGCAGGAGCTGCTGCTTCTTCTGAGCTCTCTTTCAAGAGATCGTCACCTGCACTGAGGCAGAGCCAAGGAAACGTAGCTGGACTGGTGGTGATGGTAGCTAATCTTGCTGCATCTCTCCAGTTTGCTTGCTTATCTTTCTTTTTTTTTTTTTTTCCCCCTTCTTCTTCTCTCTGGCCTATCACCACTATGAGAATAGAGCTTGTAAGGTTGTATGGCATTTGACCCCGTTTGTATCTTAGTCTCACCCTTGGGATCATGTCAAAACCTCCCCCAGCGGTGGATGGGGACACTTATGTAGTCCAATATCCCTGCAGAAGAATGGCCACCTAAAGCACATTGCACAGGATTACACCCAGGTAATCTTCAAAACCTCTCTGGGCAACCTGTGCTGGTGCTCAGGCCCCCTCCCTGTGGGAACCTTTTCCTCAAACCCACTCAGAACTTCTTGTGATTTTAGACACCACTAATAGATAGGTAGTCTGGCACCATCAGGAGATGACACCACCCCTTCAAATATTTGTACAGACTGATAAGATCCCTGCTCCGTCTTCTCTAGGCTAAACAGGCCTAGCGCTCTAGGTCTCTCTCCATAGCAGAGATGCTTCATTCCCATAGTCATCTTTGGAATCCTTCACTGGACTCTCCCAAGTAGTTTCATATCCCTCGTTCACTGGGGAGCCCCAAACTGGGCACAGTATTCCGGACGTAGCCTCACTAGGGCTGAGTAGAGAGAGAGGGTTCTGAGAGTATTTGCTTTGGGGTGCTTTTTTCTTCACAACTTTAGGGGAAAAAAAGCAGTAAAGTAAAGTAAAAAAAGGAAAATAAAACAAAACAAAATAAAACAAAACAAAATAAAACAAAACAAAATAAAACAAAACAAAATAAAACAAANAAAATAAAACAAAACAAAATAAAACAAAACAAAATAAAACAAAACAAAATAAAACAAAACAAAATAAAACAAAGAAGAGGGGCTGACAAGGAGTTGATCATATACAGCTACATGTGAGTCCACAGGGAAGAAGCTAAGGACAAGATCTTGCTGTGTGCATTGCTATGCAACAAAATATGGCTAGTGGTGACTTTCTTCTCTGGGAAATGTTTCAGTACAAGAAGATTTAGAAGAGACATACCTTTGGGTGGAAAGTCCTCTCTACTTCTTCCTTCCACTTCCTCTCCTCCACACGTGCAGCGTTGACTGCAAATTCATCCAGCATACTCCACGTAGGATCCTGGTCAGCTTTGCTTGTGACTTCCTTTTTCCCTCTTCCTCCTGAGCTGTGTGGGGCAGAGTAGTGACCAAAAAAGAAATGACTCTGCTCTGTCCAACAGGAACATTTTTGAGGCTTACTTGCTGAGCTCAAATTAAGCTCTTTCATGTTCACCAACATGGCATCCCTTATTTGCTGGACAGCTTCTTCCTTTACAGACTCTTAAATGTATCCACGTTGGCAAGAAAGTCTGCAAAATCGCAGAATCCCTCAGCATTGGGAGGGGAGAAATGCTACTCCTCTTTGGCCTTTGCTGCGGAGTTCTTCTCAATGGGCTCAAGGAGGAAACCCCCCTATGACACCATAACTCCTTTGGGTTCTGGCATCCACAGTGGGCCAGTAACGTAAACCGAGTGCTCCGGTTAATGGGCTTTTGGGAGGACATGTCTCATTGCACAAGAGCAAAACAGAGCTTGGTATTCAGGAGGTGGCTGGAAGGTCCAGAAAAAAATGTCACATGAAGCCCCTGCAAAGTCAGTCCCTTATTGCAGCCCTCAAGGTGGACCACAATTACAACTCCATTGTGAAGCCACTGCAGGAAAGATGTATGCTATGGCTGGTGGTAGACTACTTCCATGGTATTATAATCACTAAAACAAGGACACTCACACTCGCCTCTTGTCCTTCACTTGCAGCTATCAACCTGTTAGTTGTATTAATGCACTGCACCACATCTGACATGAGTTGTTTGGACCACGTTGTAAGACAAGGGAAATATGATGGGTCACAGGTTACAGGATGAGACGCAGCTATCTCCACACTTGATTTACAAGATTATCCTTTCCCCTTCCTGACTTCTGCAAATAGACTGACAGAATCTGTGCAAGTATAGTGAGTCTTGGACTCCCGCAGCCAGCTGGGAGCCCCAGTTCACAAATTGTAAAAGCTTTAATTGACACCAGAGCAGAGGCCTCCTTAATATATGGAAATGCTAAGAAATGTAAAGAACAACCTGTAATTATTACCGGTTTCGGTGGGAAACAAATTGAAGCTGTGCAAGCGCAAGTAGAAATGAAAATAGAGAACCTCCCAAAATGATTGTATTCGGTTAGGATTGTTCCTGTCCCTAAATACATAATTTGGATTGATATTTTAAAGGGATTGACTTTGAATCTTTCTGATGACTTGTACCAATTTGGAATGAAGAATTATATTAGTGCCCAATCTTAATCAGAAAGGTAAAAGTGTCCTCTGTGCAGATTACTACCGCAACTAAATTGGTGGCCATGAAACAGTAGAAGATTCCAGGAGTGGGGCGTGAAGACTTTTCACAGACAATTAAAAATTTAGTGAATGCAGGAGTTTTAAAACCCACTACCATAGCTTGGTATAACCCAGTCTGGCCCATCAAGAAGTGTGGGAGATGGGCCCACTCAAGAAGGACATGGAGAATGACCATGGATTTCAGAGAACTAAACAAACACACCCTACCTCTTATGTCAATTGTAGCAGATATTGTCACCTTGATAGAAAAAAATCCAGAAGCGTTTCAGAACTTGGTATGAGTAATTAATTGGGCCAGTTCTTTCTTTACCATACCCATTGCTATGGAATATTGGGATCAGTTTGACTTTACATGGCAGGGGCAACAATATTCATTCACCAGATTGTCCTAGGGATAGTGCACAATCCAATCATTTGTCATCGCACGGTGACTGAGCATTTGGATGAGACAAAACTGCCCCCTCATATGCAATTAATTCACATAGAGATGATATGCTGATTCAGGGGAACAGTGAGGAGGAAGTGCTAGAAGTTCTCAAGTTAATTGTGGATCACATGAAAGAGCAGGGCTGGGAAATTAATCCTACTAAAATTCAAGGATCGTCCCAAACAGTGAAATTGTTAGGAATTTGACGGCATTGTGGGCATTGGCAAATTTTACCCAAAGCTCAACAGAAAATTTTAGATCTTGCAGTGCCACGAAATTAAAAGGAGGCACAAAGATTCATCAGATTATTTGGCTTTTGGAGACAACGTATCCCCCGTTTAGAACAAATCTTGACCCCACTATATAATGTAACGAGACAAAAATGCCAATTTGAATGTGGAAGTGAGCAGCAGGCTGTCTTTGAATTAGTGAGAAGGACTATTCAAAGGGCTTTAGATTTTTGGTCCAAGCAAATGGGAGAAGTTGAGTTAAATACATCTATGAATCAATCTCATGCTAATTGGAGCCTCTGGCAAAAACAGAGAAAGAAGAAGGTTCCCCTGGAGTTTGGAGGGAGAAAGTAGCCAGAGGCAGGAACTAACTATATTCTTTTCGAAAAATAGTTATTGGCGTGTTATTGGGCTTTGGTAGAAACAGAACAACTTACAATAGGACGTGAAGTGGCTCTTCATCCAGAAATGCCGGTTATGGAATGGGTTAAAAGTTCTCTGAAACCCCTTTGAATTCAAATATTATAAAGTGGAAGTGTTATATTCAGGGTAGAGCCAAAGTAGGTGTTGGAGGAGTAGCTCCCCTTCACGAGCAAGTAGCTACTGCCCTCACGAGGGATCGAGAGGTAAGTCCAGATTTTAGAGCTAACAGGAATC